CTATCCCTGTAGCTCTCAGGGTTCTGACGGGGCTTATAGACTTGAATAAGCTTTCCGTCAACAACACCAATACAACCAGGCAGCTTTTTGTTTTCGGGTGCTGTTAGCTCAGGACCGTTGGGATATTCAAATCCCCTGGCAGTTTCCTCCACTTGCGCCTGGGTTTTGGGCCAAACAATCATCGTATTTGTGAGGCCTGTCATTGCATCAAGAAACCTATGCGTAAAGTTGTTATAGGATCCTTGACCAAAACCAAAAAAGCTTTTCTGCATCATGTATCCCATATGGCAGCTTCCAAATCTCCAGAGAATACAAGCTACTTGTTGGTATACTGGTGTAGCGTTATGAGCAAGTAACTGGAATGCTGGATGCTCAGACAACAGTTGAACTAACCAAGAAAACGTTCTACGAGACATACGATAATGATACTTGAACGTCATTGTTGGTCGTGAGCTATCAACTTCGTCATCAATGAGGTTTGGGTGCCACACGTCCCAGAACCCTTTGTTGCTTTCCAAACGAGGGTATCTAACTCTGCATTGCAAATGAGTTGGGTTGGTCATGTTGAGAAAGAGTCTCATGTCGTCGTCTATATTAAGAATATATTGGTCGAAGGCATGAACTGTCGCGTTATATTCAATTGCGCAATTGCGAATGACTTGAGTCTGGTAGTTGATATTTCGTGTTTGCTCAGCTATGGCAGCTGCAGCATGTACTTCCATAGCATTCATTTCGCTTAAAAGTTGAATAGCTAAAAGAGCTAATTCGTCATCAGAAAATTCTTCGAGATTCAAGTTGTTGTTATTCATATTTAGTATAAAAATGTGTTAAAGCAAAGGAAAAAAGAAGCAATAGTATTATCTCAAAACGCATGAATTATGGTTCGTTTAGCATTTGGGATTGAAATCAGTATTTCGTTAACCAAAAAGGGTCAAAGTTGTTCGGATAAACTTTATTAAAGTTTTGAACCAAATTAGTTCTCGACAAACTTTTGTCGGCCCCGTTTGCTTGAGAAGCACCTTAGAACAATCAGTTCAGAATTCCACACAAGCCAAAAAACGCAGCCACAGGCCCCGACCTCAACGCTTTGCGCAACCCACTGGATCCTCACAGGCCAGTACCCACGCCAATTCTGGGAATCCGACGCCCTGTTGTGATCGAGCTTTATATATTCATGTATACTTGATCTACACAGCATATTTTTATCCATTACGATAATTTTATAAACACTTCTTTTAAAGTTGCATATTAAATATTTACAATTGACTTAACAAACTAGTACGAAATTCATCAAGCTAAATACACGTACAAAAGTATACATTTACAATATTATACATTTATTATAAAAAGACATTATTAATATATTGTACTAATCAGATTAGCGGAGACCAATGACAAGCGAGGTTTAAAAGTGCAAACACGATAAATTTTTGAATGTACTTTGATGACTTTTAAATGTACGCATCAAGTGACACTACAGACCTATTACAGAAACGTGTACTACTCTTTCTTCTATTATATGATTCTCATTGGATTACTTACTTTTAAGATATGGCGTGTCAGTCATAATCTTGCCTTTCATCTAGCCCTGTCTAAGAAGGAGGTCGAATTCAATATGTATATAAAGGACCCCTAAATTTTATGTTAATAAAAGTTCAGTTAATTTTTGGAATCTGGTTAATCTTACTTGTCATTTTTCCTAAATTATCATCGATTTATCACGCTCATTCCAAAATCAACACAACCCCAACAGGCCACCTCAAACACCAATGTCAGCCAATCACAACAGGGTTTTCAACGTCGCCCAACCCCTGGACGTCCTCTTTGATAAATGTTGGTGGAAGGCTTTCCGAGTTTGGTGCCTCTTGGTCTTCCAAGTTAAAATTTTCAATTTCAACATGGCTCATCAACGTCCTACAGGACGTTTACCGTATTCCCCTTTTGGCAACTCCCAAACTAATAATTCCTTCTATATGCGGAACAACTTCAGCTCTACCATCCCAAATGATAGACAAGAAAATCCATACCCTGTTTCAAAACAGGCTATCGAATTGGTCACAGCAAACCAACCAGGTTTCCATTTCAGCCTTTTCGTAATTCCCATGAAGGATGGCGGCCTCCGACCCGTACTAAATTTGAAACCATTAAACCAATATTTACCGGTCCAACATTTCAAGATGGAAACATTTCGCACGATAACCAGTTTATTGCAACCGGGAAATTATCTGACTTCGATAGACTTGAAGGATGCATTTCACCACATCGCCATTCATCCGACATCATGACCGCTGCTACGGTTCCAATAGAGACAGACAATTTACCAGTACAAAGTCCTACTCTTTGGGCTCAGCCTTGTTTTGCATGGAGAACAAAATAAAAAATAAACCAAAAGTGATACTGTTAGAACTTGGATACCACTTTTATTATGGACGAAAAAATTATAATTAAAAACGTATTGAAAAAAAAATGAATTCCAAAAAAAAAAATGTCCATTGTATATGAGAAAAAACTATGGATATTTATATAAAGAACTGGGATAGTTCTAGGGAGAATAGTAAGCGCCTTATTGGATCATGATGTAATAATCTGGTGATAGTAAATAATCAACATGTCTTTAATTTTAGCCCTTCCATACTGAGTATATAAATATTAGTCAGAGGGATCAACAGTTATAACATCAAATGACAAGAGTAATCTTTGTGCTCAGGATCTATTAATATTCTATAGTCCAGGCCCATTCGATTGTATTGCTTTTGCAGAATAAATATTTACTCGCCACAGGGATGTGCCCTGTGTACAGACTCCAACGGTAGGATGAGAACAAGTGGGGTAATGCGTGATCCATGATTAACTTTTATATTTATTATCCATCCATAATGTGATGTGACAATTAACTTTATTATTATATCTATGATATCCTCAACAAGCCTATCCCCATTAATTTTCACCAAAGTGCTGAAACCAGTTCTCAAATGGGCTCGCCGCAAGGGCATCAGAATAACAGCATACTTAGACAATCTCCTCATTATGGGCAAGAACGAGCAACAATCCAAGCTTTACACACAGATGGCGAGTCAAAAAATGACGGAATTAGGCTAGCTAATCAACTAAAAGAAGTCGCCACTTACCCCTGCCCAGCAGATTACTCATTTAGGCATGAACATCGACACGGCAAACATGTCGATTTCTGTTCGGGGGAAAAGATTCGCAGTATTCGGAGATTTGCCCATCAAATTCTCTACCAAGCTCAAGTACTATCGTCCAAGCTCGCACAGTTCATCGGCACGGCTCTGGCTACACGACTGGGGAACCAACAAGCACGCTTTCGAACAAGGCACATGCTCAATAAGCTGAATCGTATTCGTTATCAACCCACGATACAAATCACACCTGTCATCAAGTCCGGGTTGGTATGGTGGGTCAGTCAACTGAGCAAATGGAATGGTCAGCACATGATACAAGAACTACCATCGGCGCAAGTTTTCACAGATGCTTCAGAAACGGGTTACAGAATTGTTTGGAACGAACATCGAGTGGCGGGGAAATGGTCACACGAGGAGACACGTCTACATATCAACGTGAAGAAGCTTCTAGTAATCGAAAAAATCTTTCGACACATCTCCGTACCCAACAACTCTCACCTCCAACTGTGCATGGAAAACACCAGTGCAAAAGCCGATTTCAAAAAGTTTGGGGGGACGCGTTCAGCTCCACTGAACAGCACTGCAATGAGGATATGGAGATACTGCTTTCAGCATTCAATCCAACTGTCTACTCTATACGTACCATTTAAAATAAATCCAGCGGACGCACCATCACGAGCACTGGAAACACAGATAGAATGGCAACTTCCTCACCATATGTTTCTCCACCTAGACCAAACGTTGGGACCCCAATCGGTGGATCATTTTCATCACCACAAAACCACCTTCTCCCATTATTTGTGACATGGAACTATCACCCGCAAGCAATCCACACCAATGCACTAAGCATGGATCGGAACATAATCGACGGCAAGCTATTTTTCAACCCACCATGGAACCTGATACCTCTGATCACGAGGAAATTACTAGCGTCTCCATTATCGGCGACAGTGATCACACCCAACTGGCCTTCAGCCCCATGGTACCCGACGATGATACAATTGTCAGCCACACCTCCAATAGTATTGGATATTACCAAGGAGCCAACACCAAACGCACAAGACTTTCCAGGGAAGAACCCTCTTTGGTTTCTGCTAGCATGGAGCATTCACCCAGACCTGCCAAACGAGGTACCTTCTCCAACAACAGACTAATCAAACAACATCAAGCCAAATTCTGTCAGTGGTTGTACGATTGTGGTGAAGATGAATCACCTATCAGCATGCCCATGATCTTATCCTACATACAAGAACGCGCTCAACAAAATCAGTGGCGTTTTAACACCTGTTGCCAGTACCTCCATTACATCATTTCCATGTATCCAGTAGAGACTCGACAGGAATTGAAGGCGGATGACATATACTTATCCTTTTTAACCGAAGGAAAGCGAACTAATGTAGGAAAATTCAAGCATTTCAACTATAATATTCAACCCGCGTTACAGTATTTTATCGACATGAGGGATAATTCCACTCTCTCAACGACCGATTTAACAGCAAAACTGACATGGCTCATATCAATGGCTGGTTTTCTACGCCCTTCCAACCTGGCGAGAGTTGATATCAACAAGACTACTTTCACACCTGGTAATATCTTGCATCTAGTTATGGTCGGACCCAAAGAAAAAAGGCGGGCCAACCCATATGCTGGAGATCGGTGGCTATTCACCTTCATGATAACGTACTTCTTGGTCCGGTTCGATTATACAAAGACAATTGTAAACGTGTCGCTTTTTTGCCATGTATGGTTCCTCATCCTCATCTGGCTAATACCGAAGTTAGTGCATTAGTCCGCGCAATTAACAACACTTCCTTGGCTTTGTCACCAGAACGTATTTCCAAATTTGTTGCCAAGATTATGAAATATGTGGGAAGAACACCCCCTTCGGCTCCCGTACCCAAGGCTCGGGTTTTAGGTGCTACTCTGGTAGCTCTCAATGCTATCTCGGTGGATCAAATTGTGGCTCATGGTAACTGGTCGTCTCGATCCATCTTTGAAGACTTCTACCGGATCTCTGTGGCCAGTAATACAAATTGTACTAAGTCTACTCTGAAAATACCACAAAGTTCCAGCTCTAAGTGTAATATTATGTAAGTATGTAACGTAGGAAGCATATAATATATTACACGAAAGCAAGGAACTTTGTGGTTCCCACCCTCCTCGTCCCTATTCTCTCGTTTTCAGCATTTTCTCATTCAGAAGATAGTGTAATAGACTTAAAAAGAAATTTTATTTATATAGTATAATGTAGTACAGATTTCGAATTTTAATAAAGAAAGGTTGGTAAACCACAAAGTTCCTTGCTCTCGTGTAATATACTGTATGCTTCCTACGTCGCATACTTACTGTGCTAAACGCACATACAATAAAAATCATCGGTAATCCAAATTTATATAAATTGTCCAAATTTGGAACTCTGACACATTAAGGGGTTTCAGTTCTTCCCCGCCGGATTTACACTTTTTTTTTACACATTCTGACTTTTAAATTAACCAATCAAAAACACGAAATTTTTTCATAAAAAAAAAGTGTAAAAAAAAAAGTGTAGTAGCTCTTGACCATGTCAAGTTTTTTTTTTCGTTTCACACTTTTTTTTTACACTTTTTCACACATAATTGAGTTTTAAAAACACGAAAAATCATGCTTTAATTTTTTTATTCTTGGTAAAACTCTTTCAAAATTCTTCTCAAAACGAGACGTTTTTCCTCTGGGGTATTTGCTTCCAACAAAGCACGAGTACGTTCTTGTCGAAGCACGATATCTTCTTCATCTTCGCTGTCACTGTCGTCGTCAACAAAAGAAGCAACTCTCTCCGGAACCCAGCTTCTGTCCACCTTGTCATTCATTGCGAGTAGGAAGTTGTGCAAAATGCAACAAGTGTGAATCCACATTGAGGCTTTGGCGACGTCCTTTTTTCCTTCAATTGGCAAACGCATGCCACGCAGACTCTGAAACCGCCCTTTCAGCATTCCGATGCAGTTTTCGATGTTGACACGAGCCCTCGCATGGTAAAAGTTGAAGTCCCTTTCGTCTTTATTCAACTCACGGTTTTTATTCCTCTTAATGACAGGGATAACCTGTTTAGTTTGACCATAGGCAGAATCGGCCAGAACGTATTCTTCATTGGACAGCTTTTCCTGCGGTTTGAGAGCAATAGGACTTCCACTCATAACACGTGAGTCGTGAGCAGTACCTGCATACCCGGTATGAGCCATCAGTATTCTTCTGTTGTGGTCGCAGACAATCATACCAGTAGTAGCGTAAAAGGATTTACGAGAATAAAAATCCTGGCGACTCCATCGAGGACTAAACTCCAAAGGAAACAAGGAGCCGTCAACAAAACCGACACACCCAGTAAAGCCGTATTTTTTTTCAATCTCGTGCTTGATTTGTACTCGTTCAGTTGCATCAGGCCAGCTAAGATACTTCTTCTGAAGACAACCAATAACAGCAATAATAAATCTCTTTGTGAAAGCTATGACTGAGCCTTCTATTGTTGTGAATAATTGGTCAGATATGTCACATAGCTTATTTTTAGTAAAACTTACCAGAAATTCCTACGCTTCTTGCAATCTTTCCAACGGAACCACCGTTACCGTGGACACCCAGACGCTCCAATGCAACCATCATTTGAATTTTGGGAAGCGTTTGAGTTTTTTTCTCAGTACTGCGATATACACGGTGGTCTCTGATCATGTCATGTAAAGCGTTGAATGAATTGAGGCTCATTCGGATTTCTTGTCGTACTCTTCCTGTGTCGAGCTTTCTCAATAAACTGATCTTGGAGTACAGATTGATCTTGGGAACTTGGGTTCTTGTTGACAAGTATCGGTTGGATAAAACACTTGATAAAGCAACAAGTGCAGCAGGAGAAACATTGACACAATCTTCATCATCATTGTTATTTTTACGTACAGCTTCTAAGGCGACCATTGTTTGGAGGTCTTTGATTAATAATTGACGATCAGAAACAGCTGGCATTTTATCTTTTTTAAGAAATATTCAATAGGATTTATCGAAAAAAAAAGGCTGAATATTTATACTCGTACCTTCTTCTGTGTAGCCCCGACTAATTATGTGTCATCAAATGTCATTTAAGTTAGCTGATTCACGCCCATCATTTTAATAGTAACAAACATATGAAAAAAAAAAACAATTATTTATTGAAAAAAAAAATTAATGATGATTATTTAACTTGTCTATTTCGGCGAAGTATTCTTCCTTCGTAATCATCTTATTGCTTATGAGCAACCCAAGATTGGCCATGGCCACCTGCCTTTCTTGGTGCTTTCGATCAGCAGCATCCTTTGCCTCTTGACGAACACGCTCATCATCCTTCTTCTCTTCCATTTCTTGACGCCACTTCCTGTCAAACAGGTCCTGCTCAATTCGAGCGTTGACCTCGCGCTCAAGAATTCTCATTCTTTTGATTGTCAATTCATTTGCTCTCTCACTTGACTCCAGAACAGCGTCCACAATGGCATGACTTGCCGATCTTTTCTTTTTGCTTGATGTTGATCGGACAAGAGAGACAACAGAAGGAGCATCATCATTATTAGTAGAAATGGTAGCAATGATGGGAGTGGCGGCGGTGGTAGGGGCAGTGGGAGTGGTGGCATCGGCGGTAGTGGTAGGATTGGTAGGAGCGGTAGAATTGGTGGGAGCGGTGGGAGAGGTAGGAGTGGTGGGAGAGGTAGGAGTGGTGGGAGTGGTGGGAGTGATGGGAGTGATGGAGTGGTGGGAGTGATGGAGTGGCGGTGGGAGCTGATTGTACATCAGCAACTGGTCCTTCGTCGTGCTGAACAAACTCAGCGTCGCTCTCGCTGTCATCGTTGCCAAACATTATTTCTTCAACATTGTCATAATCCGCATCTTCGTTAAAAGGAATAATAACAGAGTTAGCCGAGTCGCGGAAAAATGGCTCGATCTCAGTGTACTCCTTACACTTCTTAATGCAAGTGTCTAATTGTTTTTTTTTTGTTCAAATAAGTTCAAGGATTTTATGCATGTTTATATGGTTTACCTAAAACAGAAATCTCCTTTTCTTCACGATTATCATCAGTAGCACTGTCAAGGATACCTTGGCCAGTTTGGTTCCTCCATGTTTCAGCCTTTCGATAGGCTACAATAATTCTGTCGATCTTTGCTCGAATTGCGTTTCGATCACGAAAAGTGACACCCAAAGCTTGAAATTCTAGAAAAATATTACTACAGAGTATTGTTTTGTTGGCAGCGGTTGTCATTCCGTCGTTCTTTTCGCCTCTCCATTTACTGAAGTTTCCATCTCTTGTGATCCATCCCATCAAGATATCAATTGATGTCAATCCGTCAGGGTTTAACTCGTTTTTGGTAAGATGCTGATCACCGTACCATGATACACTGGATTTACCGGTAGCTTCGTTGCTGGGGGAATCTTCGCTGCTGCTGGTAGAATCTTGGCTGCTGCTGGTAGCTTTCTTGCTGCTGGTAGCTTTCTTGCTGGTGGAAGCTTTCTTGCCGGTGGAAGCTTTCTTGCCGGTGGAAGCTTTCTTGCTGGTGGAAGCTTGGTTTCTGGTGGTAGACATTTATGTGGTAAATACAGATATGACGTGATGCGAATTGACAGTAGACCCTTATTATTTATACCTGATTTTACGTGTATATAAAATACTCTTAATGTGTGATAACTGCGATTGCGCTGTGATGTGTCATACTCAATTAACCTTTTGATGTGTCATAATTACAATGCACTCAATGTTATTATTACTCATAATGAAGTTACAAACTCAGGAACAGCTTCATTGGCTCGGATTTTCAAAAATAAATGTCTTTGAAAAAGTGTGAATTTTTTTTTTTATTTGGGGGTTCAGTTCTTGTAAAATGTCAAATGCATTTCATTGGCTCTTAATTATTTCACCGAATGTGTAAAAAAAAAGTGTAAATCCGGCGGGGAAGAACTGAAACCCCTTATTGAATACAATGGAAGAGCCGATAGAAAATATTATTAGAAATCATTGAAGCAATCTGTCGGCGACAAGCGTACCCTTGAATTCATGTAGAATTCAACAGTCAAGATAAATTTATGGACTAGCAATTCTAATAACAGTCAGCTTTCAAAAGAGTATAAATAGACCCCATTATTTCATAGTTAAAACTTCAGTCAAATAAAGTAACAAGGACTTATAATCGTACTTATCGTACCATTGTTTTTTTTATATACTTTATATTTTTTTATCAAATCAGAAGTAATTGATTTGTAACACTTACATAATAAAATACTACTCATTTACAATGTGTTCTGTGTATTACAGCGCACCACATAATATGTTTCTGTCATATACCGTGAACCACTTTTAATTTAGTTTTTGTCGTTTTGTAACTTACGGTGACTCCTTTGTGGCACACCAAATCCACTTATTCTATTTTTTACCTGTGGCATTATCATCAATTGTGAGCGTCACCAATACTTTTCAAATGGCTACAGATACCATATATGATATTAGTACAACAATAAATTACCGTAAAATTTTAAGAACGATTTATTAGAAACTGACCGCAGTCGCCATGATTGCGGTCAAAAATTGACCATATCGCATTTTCGGCGAAAATATCCAATATTGACCGCCAATTGCCTAAGTTTAACTCCGAAAAAAAACAAATAGCTTCAAATATTGATTTTTCTATCCTTAGAGGTTAGAAAAAAATATTAGAATAATATAGTCGAAAAAAATATTTCTTAACGATAATTATTGATGATTTTATAAGAGAAAACGGATGATTTGGTTCTTGGACTGGGTTTGAGATTTTGTATCACGTCAGATATTTTTTTAATTTTGCCTTTTATTTTGTATAAAATAAAACCTTCTATTTTCTCTTAGAAATAGAATCTTTTCTTTTCTTTCCCCAACAACATTTTTTTGTATTTAGCTTTGATGTATGTGTATGATAATACAATTTATTTTTTTGTAAATATAGAGGTGTCCAGCCCCCATCCCATCCCTAACCATAAGGTAAACCAGTTAGTGGACTTCTGGCATCCGTGAAGGTAAGTTCTATATTCTTCTGTGCAACTAACTAAACCTGCTCTTTTTGATTGCAACCATTTGATTGTAATGTAAGTCAGTGATTATATTTGATTGTATTATACGCTAACACTGTAGTCTATAGATATAATGCATTCAAAACTCTCGCTAGGCTAGGCTAAGGTAAATAAATAAGTGATTGTGACCTATGTAAGCCACCCACTAATATTTTTAATTCTAAATATGTAGCTTTTCTATTAGTATAATACTCTTACGTATCAATACAAAGCACGCGATAGGATAAGGTAAATAAAATAGCACTGTAATCTACATAAGCCACCCACTAATATTTTTAATTTAAGGTATGTAGCTTTTCTATTTGTATAATACCCTTCCATTTTATATGTATATCCATTTTACCTGTAATTTCACCTCATAATCCATAATCCCTTTTGCCGTTATTATTTTATAAACATTTAATGAAAAATAAATAAAATTATTCATAACATAAACACATAACTGTTCATAATACAAGGGTATAAAATTTGATAAGCTGAAATAGGGCCAATAATAGTTAAACAGTTGATGGCATCCGTGATAAATACGACCAGTAATAGTATCGCATTCTTGATAAATACGGTCAAAAAGTGTAGAAATTGATCGTATTCGCGAAGATTACGGTCAAAAAGTGTGAAAATTGACCGCCATCGCCGCGATCACGGTGAAAAATTGACCGCCGTCGCGGCGATTGCGGTCAAAATTTCATCGCATTTTTGCTGGTTAATATTTGATCAAAAATTGACCGCGATAGAAATTTTGCGGTGAATTGTAAGATGTCATGCCAGTTTTATGTTTAAAAAAAAGCTGAAAAATATATATTTATAAAAAAATTGGGTTATTTGTATTTATATTTATATGAATTATTTCAATCTATGTACCAGCAAGCAACATTATTGTTGACTGCAACAATAGATTTTAATTTGTGCCTCTTTTTCTCCTGAATTTAGGAACGAGTCGCTTTATTTGTTTTTTTTTTTCGCCCACCTACTACAAATTAAAAAAAAAAGTGTATTAAATAAAAATAGTTATTATTCTAGAGCAAAAGGTATGATTCATCGGAGCAATCTTTGTTATATCATATTGTCAAGTACGATAAACTGCTGGTTTAATTTAATTATAGACTGAAATCCAAACTGTAACATTGTCATTGTTCAAAAATATTAAAGGGTCTTATTATAAAGTAGATTGTTTACTTGAAATATTATTGAATAAATGATTTTTTACAGGAGATTATGCGCGAATGCTTAAAGATAATGAACTTGCAATATTTGAAATGAATACATTGATCCAAGACATAATTCAAGCTAGACTAAAAAGTAATAGTGTGGTTAATCTGATGTATGCAGGATAAAGAAAAATATGAATGTTTGAATGGCGACAAATACTCAAAGGCAGGAAATAGATTCCTAATTTTGGTAAGCGTAACTAACATGACACTATAGGCATAAACATAATACAAATATTGGTTATTAAAATGCAAGTGGCTTAAATTGGTAAATATTCAAATCCCATCACACATGGCGTGCATGCATAGCCCGTGATAAAACATGGTAGTAATGATTTCATTTTTTTCATAATACTATAGCAAATCAAAAAGAATCAGGGAAAAAAATCTTGCAGAAAAAAGGGAGCTTATATTACTTGGACGTAATTCTGACGGCTTCTTCATCAAGGTTAAATTCAAACGTTACCTAGTTGGATGTGTCCACAATAACATTTCTTGGTTTAATGCATTGGTTGAGATGTATTTTTTTGAGTAGATTTAAAAACTATGTTTGTATAACTATCTATATCTATCAAGACGCAGGTGAAACAAAGGGTTAGTATGCTTGATTATAATATTGAAAAATACCTCTTTCTGCGAATGTAAAGAAGGATCTGCATGTCTTCTTTTTTTGTGCAATTTAAGGAACTTTGTGTCAACAAACAATGTGAGAACAATTTAATGAGTAGGACAACCATGAACCAATGAAAAGCGACATGGAGAAAACGGTGATGATGTACATTAAAGAACGTTATGTCTATGACCCGAGGGGATTTTATCCAAGTACGGGGTTTATTCCTTACGATCGCGTGCAAGTTAATAATGCGTCTACAGCCATAAATTTACCCCTGTTTTTGTCAAACAGAAAGGGTGTTTTCTTTGCAGATCAGATATAAGAGGGGTTTGTAAACTGCATTTTTTAGCCAATGATAACTGCGGTTGCTTTTGCGAGGATAACGTAGATCAAAAAAAATTAAAAAATAGAAATCCTTCCCAAAAGGGAAATGATCTTTAAAATAACTTTGCATGATATTCGAAGATCTAAAGTTCTCGAACAAAAAATGACAACATAAAATAATTTTCTGGGGATTTGCAATGGAAACATACATTGAAGATCTGTGCTTACGTATACCAAACAATTGTAACAGATGTGACTCTGGTCAGCTGTAAACCAATATTGCATCATTAAAAAAAATGGTTTGTACTTTTCCTATCAAATATTACATGGATAAAGACTCGTAGTTATTATACGGTTGATTTATGCTTTGTACTCCATATAGCAAAGTATTCTTCTTTCAAGTAAATATATTAGTATCAAGGTATTTAAGTATGTATGTGTACTAGACTGCATAACCATATACAGTTTCTGAATGTTGATTATCAAATCTGATGATGTAGTTCCAAATACCTCCCTGTAAAGAATTATGAAATAATGCTGATTGAATCAGAGGCAAGTATCATGTGGTTTTTCTGAAATAGTACATTTGCAGCACGTTTTTTTAAAATTATGACAAACTTTATGTTAAAGCACTTCAAATAACAAAGAAACTTTATTTTAAAAGGCGTAATTAGAACAAAAAGCAATGAGGGGAGATAAGATTATTATTAAGTTTTTTTTTTCTTTTTTTGATAATTACAAGTAACGTCAAAATGTGTGGCCCACCAGGGCATATTCATGTGGATTTTTTAAAGAAGGTATCGGAAACATAGTCATAGAAGAAAAGTAATGCGGGGTGTTTAAAAAAAGGGGGGAAAGGAAAAAATGCATAAGGTTCGTTAATTCATGAATAAAACGATAGTGGTATATAATATAGGATCAACCATAAAAAAAAAAGAGATAATTTTTCGTCTAGAAAAGTCTGTATACAGATCTAATGCTTCTTCTTTGAAATAGATGCCTTTGAGATAGAGCGTTGCTCACATTCTTTCCAATTGCGGTTTCCCATATCTTGAGCAACAGTTTTCCAAGCCTGTTTAAACAATCTGGAGTTCTTCTTGATAGCAAGCATAAGAAGTCGATCTTCAGCATCCGTCCATTCTCTTTGATCTAATGACTTGGATTGCAAGGTTTTGAAACGGCCCCAACAGCAACCACGAGAACGGTGAGGTAAATAGACAGTTGAGATCATCGCCCAAGATAAACCCTGAGAGTAACCTTGTTGTAATAGAATATCTTCGTCACTGGACCATGGTGTACGCGTCTGGTTGGTTGGACGAGTGCCGCGAGTAGGTGAAGGTGGTGAGGGAGAATCAATTTCCGGTGAAGATGGAATTGAGTAAAATAATGAGGAGTTACTAGATAAACTCATTGGGCTGTCAGGCGATGAAGAATATGACGACCAAGATGACTGACGTTCATGAATTTGTTTGTATGTTGGTGATTTAGTAGTACTAATTTCCAATGATTGGTTTGTATTACATAGCAAACTTTGAATGTCCATGTTATTTAGAAGTATTTAGATGTTTATGTATATGTGTGTATATATGTGTGTGATAACAGTTTTTTTCTTTAATAAATAAAAAAAAAAAATTGGAATGAATAAAGATGATAATATAAAAAAGGTAAAATGAAAAAAATGTGTCTTTTATATGTCTTTCCTCATTTAAAAACTCCTCAGTAGTTTGAGATTAGCCCAATACACGCAAAACTGCAGCTGTCAACCATAACATGAAAGGAGACAATATTTATTAGGTTACACCATGTCAGATTTTCTGTTGTGTACCTGGTTTTGTTTGCTCCATGGTAACTTAACTTTGAGGAGGGGTGCTTATTATATCGTTTTTCGCTAAAACAATGAATAACGTGCTGATATATAAAGCTCCTAAGATACTAAATAGTGAGTTTGGTCGAAGCCCTCGCCTTTTCAGGTCTGTTCCTCCACGTTACTAAAGGAGAGCTCTTCTTCATTTACTAGTTCTCACTTCACGTTTTCAAAAAACAAAGAAAATAGTATTCGATGATAAAATTAAAGGAGTTTTTGGAAATGATAATATTTTCATTTAACCGATAGATCATATTCTCCTGCTGCAATTTATAAGATCGATTTCTCCTTGCCTCATGTCATTTGTGATACGTATTTTATTTTTCATGTTTAAAATATTCTAAGTTTAAACGAATCCCTAATTGACATAAAAGAAAAAAAGGTGGTTTCGTAATTAGGTCCGAGTTTCATTGCTTCTTTAAAATTCTAAGATTCTCCTCGGATCAGTATAAACTCCCATTTTAATAAACAGATTTATACACCTTCGCTCCTCCTCATGTAATTGGTAATTTTATTATATTGTGGTGTCAATGCGTGCAAGGAGTTCAAAGCTTATTGTTTCTGATAACTCCTTTTGCCCTTGTAACGTAGAACTAAACAGATCATAAATATGCCCATGCTTTTAAATCTGTAGTACGATGGCCTAAAAAAAAAAAAAAAAAAAAAAAAAAACCGCCATTTTTTTTTCTTCCTGTGTTATTTCAATTATAAGCACAGTTGGATGCAGTCTTACTGCTTTCATCAGAATTTTTTTAATAATAATCTGCAAAGGAGCAAAAACGAGACGCCTGGGATGACACCGTAGAGCATTTATTTTATTTATTCAGGGTTCAAGCATCCGTGCATCAGACTAAATATAGGAGAAAAGGGAAATGAAGGACGTTTATTACATAAAAATGGTGTAGTGTCTCCTTGATCGTTTTCTTTATGCATATCTAACGACGTGAACGATGCGAACCAGCATAAACAGGCTCACCCGAAGGAGTAAACTATAAATCTAAAGGTGAGTTTTTTTTTTCTCCATTTTTATCTTTATCTTTACCTGAAAGTTAGGATCAAAGACTAATCCATTCTTGATTATTTCATTACGGTAAAAACCTATGAGGGCATCAGTATTGTAAGCAAGGAGGTCAACATTTAAACTTACTACTGCATTGATATCCAAAACTAATATGTTTGTTAATTAGCGCATAGTATAATTATGGTGAGATATATGCAACAAAGCTTACCGGTGAGGTATATAACTAGCAAACAAACCCCACTAAAAGTAAAATATATATAAACATTATAATACACCATTTTCTTATTAAGATTTGGCAGTTACCTTATCACCACAGCCATGATCTTTTGAAACCTATAGAGAGTTGAGATATCAGCCACGGAGGTCAGATCACGATTTCGTACATCTTTTTTTTTTTTTTTTTTTTTTACCTTTAGAAAGAGATTTTTTTCTTCCTCTGACCAATCATGTACCCACTGTTCCTCTCCAGGTTCGTTGTGTCTATAGAAGTATTGGTTGGGATTTTTTTTGAACATCTTTAAGGCATCATTCTGTTAAAAGCAAGTTAATTAGCTGTGTTTTTTCTCTTTCCTTATTGGGTATAAAAACCTTTGCATTAGATATAGATCCTTTCTTTCTTTTGATCCCACTTCCTGTAGGATCAGCAAAAGAATAAGCACCACCACCGTTCTTTTCCCAGGCTTCAGAAGCAGATGGCTCAATCCCATGTCTTTGCATTACCTCTGGGTTTACCCAGCCTTTAAAATGTCCGTCCACAATAATTGCCTTACTTTTCACTTCTTTGCTAAAAAATTCTTCGGCTGTCAGCAATCTGCCTTCATCCATTAAATCTTGCAAGCGTGGATCATCCTATCAAAAAGCAAAAACCCCTGAGTTTAATGCCCTTGACCCCGTTGTCTCACTTTTTTAACTATATTTTTACCTTTACTTCCTCACCCAGTAATTCTATGTTGTTCTCCTTATCAATCTCAATAGCTAATGGTTTTTCTCCCCTGAGTCTGGAAGATTTTCTTATTGTTAGTACTACGGGTGCTTTTTTAGGTTTAGCTATTTTGCCATGTGTTAGTACTCTGATATGTGTCACTTCTTTAAAAAAAAAAAAAAAAAGGTTCGTACCTGTGTATGTTTTACGAGGCTTTTTGACAGCCTGTTGTTCGCTACTATACATTGTCAATAAAACCAGAGCCAAACTTTATAGACTTTTAAATTTTACCTTGTGTTTGTGGGTGCTGATGAGAAGGAAGTTTTCGCTTTAGAGATCCCGAGTTCTGCAATCAGTTGCTTGTTCAGTTCAATGTTTTTTAATCGTTCCTGTTCTATCAAATAATATTAGATTCAGGTGCCAAATCGTCCATAAATTAAAACAAAGCATTTACCGTAAGGGGTTGTCATGATTGTTTTTAACTTAAAAGCAGAAAACCCACACACCCACACACACATACACAAGATCGAGCGTATTTTTTTAATGTGGCTTATATTTAATGCATAAATTGACAGGTATTAATTTTAATACTTACAAAAAAAATTTATTTATAAAACGAAAATGAAGGGGAGAATAAGGGAGATAATTACATAATTCTAAGGAAATTACTCAATTTGTTCAACTTTACCGTTATGATAATAACTGATTAAATCAACGCTAAATTCAGCAAGTTGATGATAGAAAAGTTTTAAGAGATGAGATTGGTTTGTTGAAAGAGTTTCACCAGTCATACAGATGGTGTAAGGGACAAGCAATGTAACAATACCGTTCTTTAAAGATGTAGGCATACCAAGAGATCTTAAAAGAGGTTCCATGTTGTGAGGTACAGGTTCGCTACCACGCTTAACAGGTCCCTCAGGAAGAGAGATAGTCTCAGTGGCAACAGCTCCGGAACGAGCATAACCGGGCTTTACAAATTCTTTGAAATAAGTCTTGACTTCCTCAGGAGTCTTATTTGTGAAAAGCAAACCAACTTCGCTGGATAATTCCTATTTATGATATATCAGCAGCTGACAGTCTTCATTTCCATTCCAACGTTCTTACCTTAGCGATGGCTGCTAATCCTTCCTTATATTCTGATTCAGCAGTTGTACCGAGAGCCTTGGCCATAACTCTGTTCTTACCAAAGAAGAAACGAGAATCCTTGAAGTCGTTACGAATCTCCTTGAGGTATGTGTTACGCATGTCCTTGACAGAATACAAATACAAATAGTCATATTTATCAACACATTGGTGAATCTAAGTTTGTCAAAAAAGTTAATCTAAATTCGAGATTTGAAGTTTTTTTTTTTTTTTTTTTTTTTTTTTAAATATTACATCTTCAATCAACTTTTCCTTTCCTTCACGACCCTTCTTGTCGGTTTGGGTTAAAGAAACTACGAACTAATTTAGTATACGCTTTTATTTTTTAAAGTTGATTATCCTATCTTACCAACGGTACTACGCTTGGACTTGGGCATATTAAATAGAGAGAGAGATAACTGTTAATCAAAAAGCTTTTTTTTTTTTCGAACATATATTTTTTCTGGTCTTCTCAAAGCCGTGACTGTTTAGTCACTTGAAGACAGTCACAAAGGGGTAAGATTTGATTTGAAAAAGCCTTAAAAAGAAATCGTTGTTGAGATAGACACCATTCATGAGATATCACCACGTAGCTTCTTAAAACGTATTCAATTAAAAACCAGAAGATACTTACATCGCAGTTAAAGCTCTACATGATCAATTTATTTAAGTTGGGACAGACGATATACATTATTATCGATCTATGATTTAATAGACAAGAGAATAAATCTATAAGAGTAAATAGCAAATAGACAGGAAGACCCGGCTCTGTAATAGAGGCTGCATATCAGTTTAAAGGAAAATTTTACTGTAATAATTTATAAAAAAAATGTGTAAAACAAGACCAGATTAAACACTTTGTTGGCCTGAGAACACAATAAGATGTATGCTCTTTATATCAATTCCTGGTCTCCATTTGCCTCAGATAGTAAAATGAAATTATAATTATAGCATCAAGCAGCTAAATAAAAAAAAGATATTTTCTATCAAATAAGCATACACTTGTCCCGAAACTAACCTCTTTTCATTATTTATCATTTAGTTCTGGCCGTAAAAAGTAACGACATATTAACATACGTTCTCCTAAATACATACTGGATGCTGAAGCAAAGACACAATACTACACTGTTTTATTGTTGAGCAGAATTTTTTTAAAGAGATATATTAGGTGTTTAATTAGCGATAACATTGCTAAATCAGCTACACTGGGGTAAATATGTAGTCATGATGAAACCCAAATTAGTAAAGCACTGTTTAAAACAAATAAAATGATGTTTTCTTTAAATATTAACTAGAAATATTTGAACAATACGTTTAAAAGAACTACGTTGAACCAGATTGTTCTAACATTCAGAATGTGTAATACCTACTATGTTCTCTTGGGAAATTATGCTCAGGTAATTCGCCAAGATGGCTATAACCAAATTTTTGATGGTTCATACCAATATATTATTTGATATGATGTGGGATAGCTACAGTTTGACATCAAAGCTTCAAATATCGTTCACATGAATAATGTTAAAGAGTTTTGGCAATGTTTGTTTTTGCATAAAATTATCCCCAAGTGTTGCTCCGCTTCAAAATTTACATAACCCGGTCACTTACGCACAGGGCAGTGCTAGCTAGCTATTTTTTTGTTTCTTTCAATTTAAACGACCTTGAAATAAAGGTTAGATAATTCCTAATTTTTGTAGCTTATTAACTAAGTTGGAATTGTCCGTTTAAAAGCGCTTTTCGGTCTTCCTTGTCATAAAGACATAATATTCCTAATAACATGTACTCAGACTGCTATATTTATCGTATTACGTTGTTGAAATGAAGCGTAGTAGACCCTTTGAGAAAAGTAGATTTAATTATTCACAATTTTAGTCCTAATGAGATCGCAAATTATTTGCCACTGTGCGGTAAATCCAAGGACAGAAGATGCCATTGTCTCTTACAATAAAAATTTACGGGTTGTAGGTCATCAATTCTCTACAGAGTACAACAATATGGGTCGAACCGTAACACATCAGCGAATAGGGCAAGGTAGCATGATAAAAAAGAATTGGTGATGAAAAAATTTGAAACGAACAACATTAAAAATCCCTTCGTTTCCTTATACATTCACACAGAAACATGTTTCATACAAGTTTACCCTAAAATTACATTTAAGTCGTATGAAAATAATTTATGTGAGACGGTACAAGTTACATTAAATTTCCATTTTGCTGCACATGGACATTTTACTGTGAAGATAAAATGGTCAAATAACATTGGGTCCCAAAGAGCTATTCATAAAAGTGCTAATTTTTTACTATAGGATGGCAAGACAGAATAAGAAATAATACAAAGAAAAGTAGAAAGGCAAAAAAAAAAAAAAAAAAAAAAAAAAAAAAAAAAAAAAAAAAAGCCAGAAAAGCTGTTGTCCAGAAGAATAGAAAACTTGCCATCCCACAAGAGACATATATATCATTATTTATTTTTATCATTTGAAATTATTTATAACTTACAGAGAATAGAATAACATCGATTTAAATGGAAGCGACAGTGCCAAAAAGCCTCACCAAACTTTGAAGTGCAAGGATGGAAGTACTTATAGGAATCGTGACGCAATTTGGCATCTAAAAACATGTTCCCTTATGATTTGTTTTATCCGGAATGGTCCTGGCCTATCCAACACCTTTAGTAGACCCTAAAATGGTTACAAAACCATACTCGGGGAATGTTGGCTTACATGTTGTACATGTAGAAGAGGTTACAATTTTCTCGTCGCTTATAACCGTTTTTCTATTTCTCTGAAAAAAGGTAAGCAAGCGATAGAAAACGCAGTCTGATTTGTCCGACTTTTCTGGATTTAAAAGTAAGATTCTTTTGATTGTCATGCCACTTAAATATTCCATTGAAAGATAATATTTACAAAATCAAAATTACTCTTGTACGTTTGATAGCTTTTGGCTACATGGCAAGGAGGTGGTGCAACACAAAAGGATTTCTATCAATTTCAATGCTTATAACGACATATGTTGGCTTCAAAACATCGTACAATCTAACTCGTATTATGCTATAGAGGAATATTATCTGTCAACATTTCAAGGGCATTTTTCAGGAGAGTGATTTTTTCCCGTTGTACGTTTAGCAGTTGACTATAAATATTTAAGCTTAGGAATGACCTTACAGCTCACCTCCACCAACTGGGGATACATTGTAGCAATGGCATTTTTTTTATGCAGGTACATCACATGGTTAAATTGTAACCCGGTTATTGTATGCAATTTTTGCAGGCTGTCAGAAATATAATGTGAAGGGGGTGTGTGCGTCGCCTACAATAATAGAGTTCCAATTCACTTCCTCTTGATAAAACAACTTCACTCCATTCTACATTATATATCTACAGTGTGGGTATTGTAATCAAAGCAGTACAGAGATATTTTAGTTTGACATAAAATGTTAAAGTTCGTTTGCATTAGTTTTTGTCAAATGCGCGATTGTTCGTGCTCTTCAAAATATCATCTGTTTACATGTGATGCAAACAACAGTTCGTGTATAACCTGAACCAGTGGAGTATGCATATTTTTTTTAACTCTGTAGTACTACATATGTAATTTTGATATTTTCTTCTCATCGGATGCTTCTATTTTTTACATTTTTACATGCTATATTTTATTTTGTCGCCATCTAAACCATGGTATTCTAATGTGAGATGTTCCATAACTTGATTTTTGATAGTCGAATTCTCTTAAACAAAGGAAACATATTAGCCATCTTTGTGTTAAAAAATTATTGAAAATATTTTGCCTACTATTGAAAAAGAAACCGTGAGTACACATCAACATATACGACATAATCTTTGACTATTTCTACTCTTTAATAACATAACTATACTGAACGATATACTGGTCTTGCCTCACTGATAAAAATATCTTTACATCGCTTTAAAAATGAAGGTAAACTACCGAAATGTTTAAAAAATTTCCAAATGTAAAACAATATAGCAAGCCGATAAACCAGAAATAGATCCCCTTATGAAACAGTGTAAAAAGTATATACATATGAGTGTGTGTGTGTGTGTGTGTGTGTGTGTGTGTGTGTGTGTGTTTACAGGGAATAACTCAAAATGCTTTTTTATTTATTTATTAAAATTTTAAACGATGATATGTTTCTTTGCCCAAAGACTTAGTCTATGTGTCGTCTTTTTGATGGCTGAGGGTGGTTGAGGGAGATTTGGTATGGATAGATCTGAAATGGATCGTTTGATGGAAGGGTCTTCATACGACGACTCGAGCAAGATATTTGGAAAACTTGTGGTGCGAGTCAGAGAAGGTTGAGTCAGTAGATCCCATTGAGAATATTCTTCTTCCAAGAGTTGAAATGGGGATAGAGGTATAGTGGGTAAATCAAAAGAAACAGGTGTGGTATTGATGGCGAGTGAAGGCATGAAGAATGGATGTGATAATGCATTGGATGAAGTAATTCTTTTACATGGATCAAATTGTAATAATTTGGATAGTAAATCAATACCTTCAGATGAAATAGAATTTGGCTGTAACACCATAGATAATGAATCTATTTTAGGGAAAATCTTTTTTTGTAACCCATTATTAAAAAATCATGCAAAATAACAAGTGTTTAAATACATACCTTCGGAAATTCAAAACCCATTTTATGGGCTAGTTTGACACCGTCTTTCCATTCACCACCAATACCAATATAGGAAGTGACGGGAGTTAAAGGGTTTGTGTTTGATTTTGAATTAATAAAGTTTGGTTGTAGAATAGAATAAGTCTTCTTTGCAGTTGTAGATGGGGTACCGAGTACTTTACAAATTCTAAATAACTGATCAATTTCAGATTGACCTGGAAAGAGAGGATTCAAAGTGACTAATTCAGCAAAAATAGCACCCACAGCCCATAGATCGATTGGATATGAATAATTTGAAGATTTCAGCAAGACTTCTGGTGCTCTATACCATCTTGTGCTCACATAATCAGTACAAGGACGAGTTAATTTTTTGATGTCAGTAGCCAAACCGAAATCAGCTAATTTTACTACAAGGTTTTGTGTAATTAGCAAATTTTCTGGCTTCATGTCTCTATGAAATATAGATTCGACATGATGAATATGATTTAAAGCTGATAAAATCTGAAATAAAATAGATTTGATCTCCTTGGGTTGGATGATTTGATTTGCTTCTTTGTGGTCATTAATAAACTGATATAGATTACCGCCATCCATATATTCCATAATAAAATAAAACTCCTTTGTTGATGGACTAAGAAAAGTTTCATATAATTGAACAATATTCGGATGACTGGACATTTTTTTCAAGGTCTTGTACTCTTTCTGTGAGGTACACTCTGAATAACTGTTAAACTTTTTCTTCATAATTTTGATAGCCACCTTAATTTTTATTTTTGGTTAGATCCCCGTGTTTTTTTATTATGATTTTCCACTCACGAGTTCGTTTGTTTTGCTTCTTCTTGCTTTATGTACTGAGCCAAAAGAGCCGTCTCCCACTTGTTCTAGCAGCTCATACTCATAAAAAGGTGATTCCTTTCTTGTATTCATTGAACAATTACAAAAAAACTGATGGAGAAAGGGAATGAAAAAAGGGGAAAACGGGGGATATGAGCTAATTTCTGAACTCTTTTTTTTTAATTGTGTCGCCTGTTTAAAATTTTATTGCATTTTGATTAAAAATATATTGCTTCCCGTTTTCTTTCTTTACACCATGGCCCTTTGTCTATGACTCAATGCTTGCAGATCTTGCTGATTCTACAACCTCTCTATTTTTGACTCTTCCCTTGCTCCTTTATCCTCACTCCCAAAAAAAAAAAACATTATTTTTGAAACCCAGACCATTTTCGGGTGACGTGAAACTGCATATTTTTTTTTTTTTTTTTTTTTTCATGAGCTATTGTCAGGACACAACCAGTTGATCTCCACATAACTCCAGTCACGCCACACCTAAGGCCCTTCAGCTTAATCAGGTCTTTTCTAAACATTCCTGCTCCCAAAGACTACCAACGGAACCTTTGATGAATCCTCTTCATAAGGAAGTGGCTTCCACTTATTTGGTCTTTCCAATCAAAAGGATTAAAAAAATATAGCTTAATTACTTCTTATCCGTTGTATTTTTGACATCAATTTTGGCATCTCTCTGCTTAAACTTCTTCTTTCTTCGCTTTTTTATTTTCTTCTTGTCTCTTTTACGTTTGTTATACTTTGAAGTACCGTGTACCAAAATGTTCACCATCGCTTTGGCAGCTCGCTATCTTCCTTGATATAGAAAAAAATCTGTCTTTTGTTGTACCAAATACATAAAAATTTAAAAGGACATTCAGGTGACTGAAAATGTGTTGGATATAATTTCTGTATGTATTGACATCTGCAGTTTTTGTTGTAGGCGTCTCAGTCTCAATTGCCTCTACCCCATTCTCTTGCTTTCTCCGCAACAGCCTTTTTTGGTATAAAGGACTACCTGAAGTGGTATTACTCCTTAGTAGCACAACGAAGTAAATAGTATGTTTTTACCGATCTAAACCCTCCACAGCCGTGAACACGGCCTTTCTACCTGGATCCAGAAAAACTGGTCGAAATACACTCTTCACTTCTTCAGAATTAAAATCCATGAGCTGAATCTGCTGTTTACCAATGTTACTGTTCTGTTCTTCCTATCTTCTTCTGTAGACCACACAGTCTAGATCAAAGCCGTTCGACCCAAATAGAACAGTATTATTTTCGTTTGGAATGATATCATGACTTTAGTTTGTGTATGTAAAACAAAGTATGTTAAGAACAAGTTTCAACTCACTTAATCGTGAGGTACATACCTTGAAATTCGAAGTTTATCAAAATTAAGCACTCGACAAAATACATCAAGTTGTTCTTTGTACCTATTAGGCTTTGATATTGATAAGAATGAACATATAGCACTTATGTCTAAAGAAATGGATTTGAAGTGCATCGAAGGGTTGGGGGAACAAACTAAATCTACGTGGTACGAGACGGCGTTTTTCATTTGATGGTTTTTCTTTAAAGATTTTTCGTCTTAATTTTCATTTGCTCTTTCAAAGGATGACAGGATAAAAGCTAAGAATGGGATGAAGCTTTATGGAGAATTTGATAAGGTGACAAAAGTAACTTTTGTGGGGGACAACTTCTTTGAGACAGGCATATTTCTTTAATTCTCAATTTTTTGGTCTTCACTCAGAATGTTGTCTGTGGTACCCCAGCTAGGTTCACCGCCACAGATAAGTTGATAACAGTAATTAACCGCAATCTAGATCACATCTGATGGTCTTATGGTCTGAAAAATACAAACAGATTAGATTCGGAAACAAACTAGTAATTACAACTATGGTTTACCGTCAACTCCTTCTGTAAACAATATTTTAAATACTGAATGACTCTGTTCTCGAAATTTTTAACAACATCATTTGTATATGTAGTTGCAATCTCTACACTCAGGCCCCTGTCAATAAATCACTTGCGTCTTTTGGAAGTGCTTCTTTGTATATTGCAAATAGATATAAGGAACGAAATTCGATCCAAACAGTCAAAAGTTGCTCAGTAACATGTATACTACCTGTGTTCTTGCGCGAGCCCACTAATTGACAGTAAAACTTTGCTTTCTTTTCTTTGGTAGAGGAGGAGCCCACTTTGAACATATTAAAATATAGTACTACAAACAGTAAATGTTATCACAAAAATACCATCATTTGCAGAAGCTTCTCTGTAGAACGATCGCTTGAAATATTGTTTGTTCACATGCCCTACGTTATGGCAATCTATACAGGTAATTTCTGTAAAATATATACGTTGTCTATGTTAATCGTTTACTTGTAAAGCTCTACCTTTGAAACTATCGTCATCCTTTGTATTTATTTTAGATAGAACGTCTCTTTTCTTCTTGATAGCAACTTCTTTAATCATAGTGAAATTTGAGAAAAGTAAAATAACATTTTGTTACGGAACGCAAGCTTTATTTGTTTACTTTTTTTTTTTTTCATACAAATACCTGAGGAACTGACCGCGAGTAAGGATTCTTTATCTGTTTCCTTACTTATTATTGTGCTCGATTTCTGCAGCCCCGATAAGTCTTACATATCAATTAATTGATCATTGAGGAGATAGTTTTATCTCCCCGCAACAATTTGACCACAGGCTCGGTTTATATGTAAAAGAAAAGAGAGGCATCCAAAATCATAATTTACAGATAAAATAAATTGTTTTTATAGCCAATAATGTTAACTTGATTTGAATGCGGTATCTTATCATTCTTCAATAAGATCGCTGTAAAAATATTATCGATGATGCTACCCTTTTAATTTATCTAGACGTTTAAGCTTGTACACGACATTTAAAACTAAAAGATAAAAACGTTTTTTTATGGTAAGAGCTCAGTCCACTTATAGTTGTATACTTTAGCCTCCAAGTAGAGATATTAAACAGATATAAGGGTTCGTTTTCATTCTTTTTTTTTAAATAATGATTCTATGCTAACACGCGTTTCATTTTATTTTTAGTTCCCTTTTTCATGTATTGAAGATGCAATTTCCATCAGACTTTTATTATATACAAGCAATGAATATCATTTACGTATTGTTAGTATAATTATTTTTATTCCAGTAAGGTAAAAAAAAAAATGTTACTACTTTCTTTAGATTGTTTTACTTATCATCATTATTATTATTTCGTTATACAATGTATAAGACCTTTTAAGGCCGTTTAAAAGGTAAGCTCGAGTATAAAGCATGCCTTTTGTGTAGTTAATGTTTGACTATCAAATGCTTTTAGAAGCAAATCTGATTTGTCTTTACCGGCGTTCGCCGCAATACGCTCATCAAATCATTTTAATAAACTATTTCTTTTAAGACAATTTTTGAGCTCTCAACAATATTCTATTTTTACATTTTATAAGATTTTGGAGCAGTGTTTATTTGTATATTTGTATAATTGTTGTGAGTCGCACTAAAACAAAAAAGGAATGTTTCTGCTCGTTCCTTTTTTGGAAAATTTGAGAAAAAAAAATGCTGACATTTTCAACTGGTTGTGTAGGGCACATTAGATGCAGCAAACGCTATTTTGTGATTGAGCTGCATTTTGTATTTGTATCCCGTGTTATCAACATCTCTTTAAGGAGCTCATCCATTATTTTTTCTATCAGCCAATCAAATTAGAAATTTTTTTCCATGTGGAGCATAGCAACGGGCCCTTCATAGATACGCGCCATTTGCAGCGTTGAATACAAAGCTATTTTTACACGGTATATATCAATCAAATAACGAGAGATATTTCCTCTTGAAAAGTATTATCGTATTTTATACCGGATATTTATTATCGCTTCAAGGTTTCCTTTCAGATAAGCATTCTCCTATGCTTTTACTTGTTTGTTCGACATATATATCTATAGCTCGCCGTCTTTACCGGATATTTAGTATCGCTTCAAGGTTTCCATTCAGATAAGCATTCTCCTATGCTTTTACTTGTTTGTTCGACATATATATCTATAGCTCGCCGTCTTTAACAATATTGCAGAAAGTACAGAAATGATAATTGAGATGGAGCTTCATGCGAAGCAAGTAAATGTCAAAGTCTCTTTAGGTGTAACCTAATCGATCTTGTAATTTTTATTGTACTCCTACGTATTATTTTGCATACTCGAATTATCTTTTCTACTCTGGTGCCTCTACTTTTAGTACAACCATTGCCGTTGTTTTATATGGATACTTGGATAAAGTTAATGTTTCATGCAGCCCAGTATTTATTTTGTAAAAGATATAGTGTCAGTATAGAAGCATGGTCGTGCGGACAATTTAGGAAACATCCCAGAGCCTGCACGCACTCATCTTAAACAAAGTCTTACCAGCATAGGATTAGTTTGTAAAAAATATTGTCTAACAAGATGCAACATAGCAGTATGTCACGCGGCATGTTTATTTCCATACGAACATATAGACAGTAATTTAATCAATTCAAAATACACAGGTGAGAAATAGTCAAGAGCATTTGTATTGATGAGACTTTATGTCCTTAATAAGCATGGAATAAACAGAAATTATGAGTGCGGTGTTTTGTTTTTATTTATAATCCTTTTAAGGATATATAATCCTTTTACGGATAAAACTAAAAGAGCATGAAAGGTTGCCCCATTCAAAATGATAAATAGGCATTTGATTCTTTTGAAAAAAATAGCATACGACATGGATATATAAACCTTGGCAATAAAAAAAATAGTCAAGAGACATCACTGATTTGATGTATCTTTTTATACGGATTTGTTGACATCACATTTAACTTTTGAGCATGTGTTCCTTTTTTCCATAGATTCGTGTACTTTGAGCATCTTTTTAGTACCATGTACTTAATGCTCTTTTATGTAGTACCGAGTATCATCACTACCTGTATCACGGTCTATTACTCTCAACTGGCCTCGTAATGGACTAATCTTAGTTTCTTATACACTATTTTCAGATCAAAATGTAGAAAAAAATTCGTTCACAACGTAAAAAAAAATATGTTCATCTTCTGAAAAAAGGTTGGTTCAAAGACCGAAAAAAAAAATTTGAGCTTACCACTTCAGTGTATCTATGGTTGACCTGCAATAACAGGCCTGAAAAATTCTAGTTGCGACGTTGACGAACATTTCTAATGTTAGCTTGGTCATTTTGGGTCCTTGCTCTTCTCCGTTGGTCCTTGGGAGCCTCTCCTCGTCGAAATCTTTGGGGGGGGGATGCCATTTCCAGCACGAAGTGAACGAACAATATCAACCATGTTCAAGCAAGCAGCCAAATCACAATTCCATAGACGAGGAACAATCCTATTTGTGTTATTAGTTATGGATCTACAATTTTGATTTGTACATCTGTCAAAAGAACAAAAAAAAAAATATTAGATAAAAAAATTATAACTAAGTAAAATCAACATACCTTAAGAGACCATGTAGATTACACGAGGATTTACTCTTTGTCTATGAGGGCGCGGGTCATGGATCATCCGAAACGTTTCAAGACTTCTACGTTCACAAGCTGGGCAGCACTGACTTGTTCTAAATTCATCAATCAAGTACACCCTTTTACCAGCTTTTTAAAGCAACCGACGGAATCAAGGCCTCGAACCGGCTCATGAAATCTTGTATTAGGAGCAGACCAGTCACCCATGACATAAACAGCTTCGATACCAAACTGTTCACCCAGTTTTGCAATAAGATCCTCGTTTCCTTGCTGCTTTCTAAAATAGGCAGATAGCCGCAGTTTTCTGTGCAAGGGATGAGCAGTACGATGGTTAATTCGGAAGTTGACATATTGGTTTTGGATGATGCCTGTCATATTAGACCTGTTTGCAAGATAATGTTCAAATATACCTCTATTCAAAGAATCGTGATTAATCAAAAGCCTTTCGGCGGCTGCTACTCTGGCGGGTTTCACAGCTTTAGGGATTCGACGGTATTTCTTTATTTTTTCAAACTTGTCATGGTACTGTTTAGTAAAGCGAAACTTGTTTAGATTGTTTGCCGTTGAGTTTTCATGCACACAGAATAGCCAATCTCTTCGTCCAGAATTAATCGTAACACATCTTCCAACAGTTTCTTGAGCAATCTCTTGTGAAATGTACTGAGTTGGTTCCACCACAACAGCAAAACGAGCAGTGTATCTGCTTTCACGATCCATTATTTTTTTAATCACAGTAACACCTACTTCATCCGTTTAAATAGTTCCTCTAAACTGGAGCTCGCCATTTTCTTGGTGTTTAAGTGCATTAGAGTTTGGGTTAATCACTTCACGCCAAAGCGCTATCTTATCTTGACGATTAGTCCACCGACGACCAAGAATGTTTTGACAAAGAATTTTTGAATTGATGGTTGTGTAGCAAGGAGTCCAAGAGCGGCGTAATGGAAAGCAATTAAACACAGGTAATCTTATATCAATAAATGATAAAGCCAGTTCATAAAAAGCCCGCATATGCTCAACTGGTCTTGCTTTGGAATCGTAATAAATGCTATTCCCACGAAAGCGGTAGTCAGTGGGATAGATGGTTAGGACAGGGCGAAGAGTTTCAAGAGCGTTGTTGTAGATAGGGTTCTGGAACTGCTCTGCGTCCAATACAAAATCTTGAGGTAACCTTCTAGCTATAAGTTCCTTGAATCTTGTCGCCGGTTCAGTTATATCTCTGTAGATTTCAGATTTTATTAGTACATCAATTAATCCTTCACGTCTTCTATCAGCAATTAATTCGGCTTTTCTTTGTCGAATACGAAGTAGATGGTTAATAGCTTGTTTAAGATGACTTCCCAAACGTATCTGGACATTGTTGCTATAAGCTGTGAAGATGTTTGCTAACCATAACGGAAATCTGGTGGAACAAAACCAGTGAACTCCAAATAGTCATCCAGATAAGTGTCAATGAATGCACGAATCGCAGTTCTTCCACCTGCCCTTCCTCGTGCATACCGAGTCAGTTTAAGCCACACCTCGGCAAACAAAAAAATCACGATTGATAAATTGCCTGATATAAAAGTTCTCGTCTTCTTAAATGGCACGCAAAAAAGTGTAATTTGAGAGTGAGTATGCGTGTGTAGTGATGCTGTGGAAGTTTGCATGAATCGATAATAAATGTACCTTTTCTAGCTCTCATTTTATATTTATATCTTTTGAATAGAAGGTACATACCTCATATTATAGAAAAATTCAGATTGCTCATTATACGAAAGCAAACGGAAAATAATTGTGTCATTCAAAGTAAAACAAAAATTGGTTGAGATACCCCTAATACATACAATGAAATAAAACTTTATTTCAAGTAAAAGTGTAAATGCCATGTACTTGTCTGAGCGTTTTTAGGTCTTTTGATTGTTTAGTTTTGGGGTTTGACAAAAAAAAACAGGTTAGATACCTTTTCGGGATGTCAGGTAAGGAAGGAAGTCTGGTGCATCCATATACTTATCCACTTATACATTTGTTACCAATAAGTATGTCGTTCATAACGAAATAGTGGTATTTAATTTATTCTTGGTAACGCAACACATCTACCGGGGGGGGGGGGTAGGTTGCTATCCCTCACCCCCCTTATGGGTGAGTAACAGCAATATCAAGTTTTGCTCATTTGTGCGTATCAAAATAGGCTTAAAAAAAAAGACAGTAATTATTTGGTTTAAATTCAATCGTTCAATTTTTAAGAGCAAGCTGTCAAGCAGGTTAGTCTATTGGATGAAGTGACTTTAAATCAAAGTTATATTATACGCATACAATAGTGCACTTATCTGGGTCCTTCAATATGATGAAACATTGTTCTTCTACTTTAGCAGTATACCCATTTAATGATAACAGATATATTTCTCTTTCGTTCAATTCGTTTGTAAAGTATGCATGGAAAATTAATTCCGTCGCTGATTGAAGTTTTGTTCTAAGCGTGCACGAATAATTTATGAAAATAGTGGGTAGCGCATGTGAAACAGTAAACGTCCCATAACTCAGGTGTGAGTGAGTTTATAATCTCGTTATAGCTGCTTCGTGACTATTAGCAAGTCATCCCTATGGCGTAAACATGTTCCACTTGGGAATATATAGATTTGTTATTGAGAAAAACGATGAGTAACAAAGACGTCAGAGATTGACACTGACACAGGTATTGAGTTTAAAATGCAGATCTGATTAAGAAAAAACTAACATTCTGCACATTCTAGTTCTGCATGTAGTATGCATTGTCTTCCAGAAGGACCTTTTGTTTTCTTTTAAAGAGAAACCGAGTTGCATGTATAGGTTTTCTGCAATTTTAACCCGTGGCGCACCCGACGGTGGAGGAAAATGATAGAATATGTGCAATGAAGGTGTGAGGTTTATATCCATCATATTGATAAATAAATGCCTTGAAAATAATAGCATTAACAGACACATTTTCATAGTCAAATAAGAGACTGAGACATCGCGCCTAAATAAATGTATTCTAAAAGCTACTGAGACCCTCCTCCGATAAAATGTTTATGACTGTAATTTTTTAACCGAGAAAACTAACGAAGTACCGATGCCTTTGTAAAAATGACCACAGATCAAGAGTTGTAGACTAATGTTGGGGAAAGCATGCAGAAGAAAAAGTTGTGTGGTTTGGCAAGACGCTGATTGCACTATGGGTAGTCGATTGCTGCTTTGTTGGAATGAAGGGCTGTAAAAATCTAAATGAGAAAGTTTGTCGACATGTTTACTGGCATAGTTTGAGAAGAAAAATGCAAGCCTAAAATCAATATAAAGAGTGTGAAGCAAACACTGGATCTAAAAGAGATGTAAAAAGGAGTGGAAGCCGCAGGTATTTGCCGTTAGAGCCTTATTTGCTCTTTCCCTCCCTTTTTTTTTTTTTTTTTTTTGAAGCCATTTTTTTAAAAAACGTCATCAATGAAAATTTGTTCTGTGTAAATAATCAAAAAAAAAAAAAAAAAAAAGGGGGTTGGGGACAGATATATTTTTCTTTTTCTCTTCTTCTTTGTCTGTTTCTATTAGTTTAAATTTTTTCTAGTAACTTAAGAGAGAGTATAAACACCACAAGGTTTAAATTCGGTTCGAAAATAAAAAACGCAACAATCTCTATAAAACACACATTTTAGCTGTGGAAAAAAAAAATATATAGATTACAAAGAAACGTTTTATTATTTATTCGAGTGGGACGGTAGAAACAGCAAAAAAGAAGAATCTTACACATTATTAGTCTGGAATGCCAAATTCAGAGTCGCTACTACTTCCAGAATCTATTGGGAAACGCGTTGATCCAACCTATAGTAAAACACTACAAGCAAGACTCCAAGAGTTACTGCATAGTCAAAATGATTGGTAAACAAATTTTACTAGTGCTCGTAACCCTTTCCTTATTCTTTTACTCTTCTTTTAGCTTTCCCGGATCACAACCTGTCAGCTTTGAATCCAAGCATTTAGATGATATACAGCGTGAAGACTATTTCGTATGTGAAAAATCTGATGGTGTACGTTATTTATTGTTCTTTCTTCATTCATCTAAAGGTCCTGCTTCTTTCTTAGTGAGTGTGTAGTTATATTCTTTTTCGTATAAAAACACGCATTAACATCTTTTATTAATATTAGTATGACAGAAACAAGTACTGGTATTATGTTCCCAATTTATTATTTCCTTTAAGAGGTAGAGATAATGAATATCTAAAAGATACCTTGATGGATGGTGAACTGGTGTTGGATATTGATCAACACAAGGTAACATCTATAGCGTCTAGAATCACATCATACTCATGCATCTTTGGCAATAGAAAACATGGAGATATCTTATATTCGATCTAATGGTAGTCAACGGTTCAACAATAATACAACGTTCGTTCAGTACTCGACTTGGTGTAAGTGCCCAGGAAATATCATCCCACCTAAAATGAATCTAATTGAATATATTTAAAAAAAAAATATAGATGCTGCAACAAGATGTCATCCACCCATTTAATGTTAGGATGCGCACACAAACAGATCCATCCAACCTACCTCCATTTACGTAAGATCTTATTAATTTTTTTGATGAGATGCATAGGTTGATCTAAATATGATTTTGGATTATATAGGGTGGAATTGAAAAAGATGGAGAGATCATACGGGTTACATTTAGTATTTGAGCAAATACCCAAATTAAAGCACAAGAGTGATGGTATTATCTGGACTCCTGTCAAATACCCATATACATCCGGCACCTGTGAAAAACTGTAAGTAACCTTTTCTTTCATGCAACATTATCTATGGGATAAACACTGATGTGTAAAATAGACTCAAGTGGAAACCACCAGAGTTGAATACAGTGGATTTTCGAATTTCAGCAAAGTGGAGCAAAGAGCATAAACCGATTTATTCCATCGAGGTTTTATCCAATGGCGTAACTTATAAATTCTATGATCATTTTCAGCCTGAACCTGCGTTAGCCACACAGTAAGTGATTTTTTTTTTTTTTTTTTTTTTTTTTTTGGCTTAGGAGACAATCAGACTAATCCTCTTTCTCAAAAAGGTGGAAAAGTCAGTTACCTGATGGACGTATAGCCGAATTTAGGTAGGTAAAACAATGAGGCAAAAGAAAGAGAGAAAGTTTGGGATGCAGATGCACTAAACTTTTACAAAAAAAAAAAAGGTATGATTCAGACTGTGAAGTGACGATTATTGAGCAAGGATACGCACCCACTGTAAGAAAAGGTGGCTGGAGATTTGTGCGATTCCGGGATGATAAAAGTACAGCCAACGATGAAATGGTAGTGAAGAGGATTCGAAATAGCATACAAGATGGAGTGACAAAGGAACAATTATTACTATGCATGGATCGAGTACGTGCTGCCTGGAAGGCAAGAGAAAAAGGATTACCGATGCCTGCCCTACACCCAAAACCCACACCTTTATCCTTGTCTCATATATCACCCACATCTTCCGCATTAAACACACCCACTTCCAACATGCTTCAGTCACCCTCTGCAACCCCATCTGGTTATTTTCAAAGAGAAGATGCAGCGACCGGTGTCATCAGCAGGAGTAACTCTATTTCCGAAGAATCACCTTCAACAAAACGAAAATCATCCATCACCACCCCTCTCAACGTTGAGTCTGATGATTTAGCAGAAAGGAAACGATTAAAGCCAGTGGATGAAGAGGAAGAGGAGGAGGAGGGGAAGGATGAAAAATTGAAGGAGGAGGAAGTGCAGGAGGAAAAATCTATACCTGTTGAAAGTAATGCACCACAAGCATCAACACAAGTGATAGCACCAGCAGTAATTACAACACCAATAACACAGCCATTAGCACCGGCACCAGTACCGCCACCAACCTCACAACCACCAACGAATATAATAGCCCAACCAGGATCGCCTCGACGACGTAAAATCTCGATTGTAAAGAACGATGTAAAGAAAGTGCAGACAAATGAAAGTGCCGAAGCGTCTCCACCAGTGACGGAAAAGAAACAACGTAAAGCCAATGTTTCGAAACGAACAGCCTCAGCACCCACGGTATTTATTAAGCAAAAGGAACGAAGTCCACCATTAGCAACGTCTCCTAAACCACTCTTACCACCGCCATTAGATTCACATAACCGTCGATCTAAATCTATACCACAACAAAAGGAAGCGAAAAAGATGAAACCATCCTCCTCTTCTTCTATTCATAATCTGTTAACGACCTCAGTGGAACCTGGTACGCGAGCTTATAATTTCTCTGCCATCCTGCAAAAGGACGATATTCCGGCCACTGTACAACCGCAACAACCTGTGCAATTTATTAATTTTCATGCAGAGGGTCGAAACCAGGCAACAAATAATAATCACATTATGATCATTCGTAGTGAATCTCATAGTCAGGCAACGCCGTCACCACCACCACCACCACCACCACTAATACAAGCTGCACATCCACCACCTCTCAAACCGCCTCCACCACAACCTACAACACAGTCTGCTTGGAAAAATAACGCGTTTGCCAATCATCCTTATCACCCTCCCTATCAGCAAGAATATTATCAGCCCTATCGTCAGCAACAGGTTGCTCATGAATATCAGCCCCAACTGCAGCAGCAGCCATCACTACCACCGCAACCACAGCCGGTACAGCGTGTACAGCAGATACAACCACAGCAGACACAGCAGACACAGCAACCACAGCAGCAGATACAGCCATTGCAGCGCCAACGTCAACCACTACCACAACCACCCAAAAGAAAAAACAGTCAAAAAGCTAAACTTGATTTTATTTTGAATTAAATGTTGTCAAATAAAAAAAACATATGGTACCAATCAAAAAAAAAAAAAAAAAAAAAATCGCGTGTGACTGTGAACTCGTAAATTCCAACTTTTTCTTTGTTCCTCAGTTTTTTTTTTTTTCTTGTTCGTGTTTCTTTTTTCAACTTTTTTTTTTTTTTTAATACAGTAAAGCCAAAAAAGAAAAAAATAAAATAAAAATCAGTTTTCCCTTATATTATGGCAGACGGAAAAGATTTAGCTGAGGATGAATACATTGTAAGCTGGTTTTCATTTTAGGGCACCTTCATTTTTTTTTCTTTACTAAAACATATATGTTTGTAGGTTGCCCGTATCGCTGGTACAAAGATCGAGGTAATAAATCATTCAATCTTTTTTTAAAAGTAACCAAATAAAAAAAAAAAAAAAAAAAAAAAAAAAAAAAAAATTAACAACAAAATTTTTTTGTGTTTTTTACGGAAGCAGTCGGGTCGCCGGTATTATTTAATTGAATGGGAAGGATATGACCTTAAAGATAATACATGGGAAGACGAAAGTAACGTCTTTTCAACTGAAGCCATTAAAGAATTCAAGACAGCCAGTAAACGACAATATAAGGGCTCAAAAAACCCTCTTACCGCCAAAAAGGCCTTGTTGCATAATACTTTTGACCCCGATACAGGCACCTACACTAAAAAAATCTCAAAACCAACAATTATCAAAAAAGCAGAGACTCTCGTTGTCCAAACACAAAAGAGACAAAGAGATTTGATTGAAACTGAAACTGAATCCGTCACTGTCTCTAAACCCGTTAAAGAAGTAAACTGTCATTATCTCAAATAGCCCCTAGCATCTATCTCATTAATGTTTTCTTTTCATAGGCTCGCATAGGCATGGAGAACTTGTCCTTGGAATCAAAATCTATTTTTGATCAAAAAATGGATCTTGTTAGACAGTCTGTGCCGGTATGAATAGAAATCAACGCGTATTCATCCTGCGTAACTAACGTACATCTATAGGTCAAATATCCTATTGTTCGTATGGCTAATCATCAACTTATTAATAAGCGTCCCGTCTACTATGTAAAGAACCTCAAGAGTAAAGTCACACTCATCAATGAAGTAGATGACGAGATCCCCACAAACTTCATTTACATTGACCAACTCGTATATACCGATCCCGTTCAACCACCCGATCCAGACTTCTTACCAGGTTGCGATTGCTCTCTTTCTTCTGATTGCAGTTTAGCTTGTCATGATGTCAGTGCATATGATTCCAACGGGCGCCTAATTATTCACCAAGGTACAGCTATTTACGAGTGTAATCAAGCCTGCGGATGTTCTACCAAGTGTAAAAATAGAGTCGTTCAAATTGGAAGAAAGATACCATTACAAGTCTTTAAGACACCTGCAAAGGGATGGGGTGTACGTAGCACTCAATTTATACCAAAGGGAACTTTTATTGAAGAATACATTGGCGAGGTCATTAAAGTGGAAGAAGGTGATGCTCGTGGAGCAATCTATGATAAATTAGGCTGTAGTTACTTGTTCGATATGGATTTCGCTCAATCTGAGTTAGCCACCAAATATGTGATTGATTCTTATATTCTCGGTAACGTTAGTCGTTTCTTTAACCATTCCTGTTCCCCCAATTTGGAGGTCTATGCTGTCTTTTATGACAGTGCAGATAACCAAATGCATCGTCTAGCTTTCTTTGCTAAGCGAGACATTTATAAGGACGAAGAACTTTGTTTCGATTACAATGGAAGAAGAGATGTTTCAGTGGAAGAAGAAAGTGAAGATGCAGCTCGTTACTCTTGTCATTGTCAAGCAAAAGACTGTCGTAAATGGATTTATCATTAAAAAAACTTTACCAATCTCTATCCCCTTTCCTTTCTTCTCACAACAAAAAAAAAAAAAAGAAAATACCCTCTCTTCAACAAAACTAGCACTCTTACATAATAGCATCAAATGGGGTTCACAAATAAAAATTAGTATAAATCACATATTATAAAAAAAAACATAACCTTTTTTTCCATGTTTTCTCACCTACATTTTACTTTCACGAGGATTGCTTCGTTTGTCCGCAGCAACTTTTCTCTCGTACAAAGGTGGCTTATCTTTACCCGGATCTCTCCTTTGCTTTCACACACATCTCGCATCCCCACCCAATCATGCAAATTAATTTCTCCCACGTCATGAGAAAAAAGAAACGACCCCCAGTCTCGAATTTATACAAGCCACAATTTCCTAAAGTAGACTCAATTCATTTTGTACTACCTCGTGGAAAAAGACGTTCTGATCATCCAATCACCTGCTAGTTTCAATAGCGTTCGAAGTTGGAACTGCTTAAAGGGCAAAACTAGGCTTTTTTTTCAAAAAAAAAAAAAGGAGCAGAGGTTGCTGGGATAAGCATCCTATCGCTGTTCTGGGAGACTTTGGCTGGCTTCTGTAAGTTTCTCTCTCGTCAAACAGTTGTTGTAGATAGACTTGACAGGCTAGGCCAGCCATGGAGCATGTCCAAAAAATAAAGGTGGACGACAAGGGAAGCGAAACGTTCCGCACGAGTAGTGGCCCCTTATTTTGGTTTGTTTTAGCCTAATAGGCTATGTCTCATAACATCATGCGGATACATTTAGATCCACAAATAGAAATGCGCGCACACACACACAGCACAGCACAAAAAAGTAAAGCTAGTCCAATTGTGACTCAATTCAAAACAGAAAGACAAACAAAAAATAAGGAAGAAATCAGACAGGCACAAGTGGGGGTAGAAACAGTGTTGTAGCAAACAAGAGAACAAACTTCCCTCACCCTGCTTGGTACTAGCGGTCATGCTAGTCGAAGAACCTGACCAGTTATGACCGCTTAGTACTATTCAATAAGGATTGCTACCGTCTAATTTGCTTCTTTTCTTCTCTCGCACAACAATTCACTCGATATATTTGACGAGTGCAAGAAAGAGTCAAAATGGTTGCTAAGCTAACTTTCGCATGCACAATTGGAGCAAAAACGAGATGTTGATAACTTCCAGTTTCAAGAGTTGCATGTGATTGTTATGACACAGAGAGAGAAACCTTGAAAAAATCAATCGGGAAATGTTGACACATGCCTCTGGAGTCAGTAGCTATCACAGTGTCCAGCTCTGTGGGAGTGTCACTACCGCAATTATTTAGCAGACTGTGACACAGTTCCTGTAAAAAGAGTGGTGGACACAGTTCTATCTACCAACATCCATCATTGCGGGCAAGCTTTGTGTTTCTCTGTCTCTACCGGACAGGCAGACTTGACTGTGTAGAACTTTCAGATTGCAATTGCGCGATTGACCCGAATTAAACACAGCTGACCATATTTAGCTTCATCCCATAGCTTTCTTCAGACTTTCCAAGTGTGCTGCTTATAAATACAGAAAAACACTCTACTCAAAGAGAGCCCTCCAGATTCTAGATAGCAGCAGGCATGTCCAATCCAAACTGATTAGGAGTACATATCAATTATCGAGGGCTCCATTCTCTCTTATATAATTTCTTTCTCTCCCTCTCTCACACGATGTCAACTAATATTTGAGATGTGATAGCATAAAAAATTGGTCGACTGAAATTTCATCAACAATTTAGTAAACTGATCGAAAGTAAGTTATAAAAAAGGGAGTATACTTTTTAGCCAAAGCATCAAGACAAAATTTGCTATAAAGGATATAGTTACATTTGTCTATATTAGTTTAAAAGTTTTACACTGTACTTCTACTGTTCACGGTCAAATAAAGCGACTGATATTTCATTAGCAAAAACGAGCATGACCAAATACTCAATGAATTTTATGATATGGTGAAAGCTTTAAACGTTTTGAGATTGAGCAGTGCAAATATTATTGAGCCAATACGATCGAGACCATAGACTCGAATAATATCGATCTTTTTGATTTTGGGTCGAGCTTGCGACAGCTCGTAATCAGAGCAAGCGCCGTTTATTTTTATTTGAGCTAGCATCTACCGTCGCTCGTTCAGCAATAAATTGAAGGATATCGCCTTAGCCAGGGCTGTTATAAGACGGGTAATCGGAATTCCTTTCGAGATTACTCTTAATCTTAATTCGCTAGATTATGCGATAATCTGAAGACGAAGGGGACATGTATAAGATAAAACCTAGCAAGTAAATAAATGAGAAACTTCTATCCTTTATTACAAATTGGAGAGTTTGCCATGAAAAAAATAGGGGTCCTTTCGTATTAAAATATTACTTGAACTAATTTCTGCGCCAATCGAACTAACATTTCCAGAAAACTGAGATTGGTGGACCTAAATTATAAATCAGTAGCGACACTATAGGTTCTGTATTATTTCGTAAGTCTATGGTTGCATATCCGGAATTTTTGGCGTTTTATGCATTGATGTCTACGTGGATTGTACTAATTGTTTACTCAGAGCTAATTCTAGAAAATAACGCAGTAAATTCAGTCAGCCAGAATCCATTATATGATATACTACTGAATAGAAGACCATGCATAATGTTATTGTGTCTGTAGACAACAGATATTGGGATTTGTTGATCATCGATATAATATATGGAATTTTTTGTGATTTAAGAAATATTGAGCAATAAATATATCCGGTTTATTCAGACGCCATATATGACAGGTATCTTTAAAGACATGATTTGCTGTATATCGGTTATAAACTTTATTTTATTATTTTGTATTTTACGTTTACTTCTTTTTCATACATGATTACCCATTTTGCACTTGACACCACTTTCTCCCACAATTTACGTACCATGAAATTAAGTGAGTTGAAGCTTTCATTTGGGCTAGCGAGCAGAAACTACAAAAATCCGAGCGAGTTTTATCTCTAAAGAAAAGAGTATTGGAGTGAACTTTGAATGAAAAACAATAACAGCTCAATCGAAAGTTTCGATATTCATCTCAATCACTTGTTTCGAGTATGTATACTGCTAAAGTTCAATAATTATTGTTGTGAGAACCTTAATACAGCTTTGCCATGCTGAACAGATACCGTCTGCTGTTTCCGGGAGTTAGAGATTAATTCTGATAGATTAACATTAAATATGTATAATGCATTGGCTATATATATCACAATTGAAGTATGAGGCCGATTGTCCAATAAAACGACTATACGTTTATTTTTATCATTTAAGTTTGTGTCACATCAATTCAATGCGTATGTTTAGTTTGGTTTGTACATACCCAAAAAAGGTAACACATTAATCCACTCGTTTTACGTTTTTTATAGTTAGTTTTTTTTTTATCATTGATGTAAAATGCTTGATCTTGCTTTGTTTTTATTCTGAGTTATCGCAATCCAGTTTCTGTTGCCATTAGTTTTTTTATTTTATTCCTGCCCAAAGCGGCTGTCATCGATTGATTTTTGCAGTACGAGCTAAAATTATAGCCAAAAGATGTGTTAATTGCCATATAAAACTACATGCGATTATTAACCTTTTATATCAGAAGTTCATTAAATCATTTTTCGGGCTTAACTTGTATGTTAAACGTGTTTCTCAATTGATCCGAGAATATACTGAGCAAATAAGAAGACATATATATAACTGTAAGATGACGACGTTGCAGATTTGATTCAATTCCATAGCTGAAGTTTAAAAATAGATAAAATAAAAAATATGCACATCACTCAAATGGTTCCTCAATGTCAGTATTTTTGTGATAAAGATTAGGTTTCTTGCTACATTGGTCACTAAACATTACTTCTATAAAAATCTCATGATCATTTTTTAATCTAGATAACATTTGAATATATCATTAGCTGACTTTTTGTTTTCGATTAAACTTTAAATCATGGTCTTTTTGTTTAATTGATTGTTAGTTGGCCATACGCTACATGATATTGAAAAGCACAAGAGCTCTTTTAAGTCTTTGTTTACAGGACATAAGTTTTTGAGTAATGATGTATCTGGACACAGTTCTGATGAGATGTCTGTATCTCAAACAATTGTAGTCTTTTATTATTGATCTATCAAAATGAGTTTTAAAATCAGCGGAGATACGGTTTCTAGTAGTGTTCGGAATGAAGATCGAAACTCTCGAGCGAGCTTCGATCGTGTTCCAGTCGAAGCTCACTCGAATGCGTTTTTTTTGCAGCTCGAGCTAGCTCGAAGTTTCTTAAGGTCGGCTCGGTTGCAAATATGATAGCCCGAACTCGCTCGCCCTTTTTATTACACAAAGTGCACGTCAAAGTGATGTTAATTACAGAAAATTATGATAATAAAATTGTTATTTATTGAAATAGAAGTTGGAAAAAGAAAAAGAAAACTTTTTTTTTCACCAGCCTTAACACCAAATTCGGATAATTAAATCAAACTATTACTGCATCTATAATTATAATACATTTGGATTTGTGAACTTGAAAGTTTAAATTAATTCTGCTACGTCATCTTACTATGGTTGCTGTAAAAAATTGGGTTAGTTGGGTTTAGTGTGCAACACTGTTTCATTTTCTATGGTAAATGTGTTTGTTGGTTGTACAATTAAAGAAAAGTCCAAAGCATTTTAATTGTTGGAATTATTAGAGCATAAATAAAAAAAAACGGTAAAGGGAAGAAAAGATTAAAATCAAGGGGAAATTCCATCTGTAGTCTTTCGAGGACCTTAACTTTAAAGTGACTACTATCGATATTTTAGCCGAGCGAGCATGGATCGAAGCTCGCTCGAACCCAAAAAAAGTGGCGCAAGCTGGAATACAAAAACTCGGTTCGAGCTTCGTTCGAACTGGCGCAATATCGGTGCAAGCTCGAAAAGTTCGAACACTAGTTTCTAGCTTCATTCAGTTGTTTCGAGAAATAAATCTCTTTTTGCCGATATTTTCTAATTTAAATAATTCATCATCAACTTCTCAGTTAGTCATTTGTCTAGTAAAATTCCAGACTAAAGACTTCTTGGGCCCTGCTTTCCAGAATGTTTTCAATAGCTTATGACTGGGGCAATATCCTCAGGACTAGCCCAATTTTTTAAACTCGTGGCAGGAGCTTCTTACCTTGGATTACACCCTAAAATAAATCGACAATTGAAAATTGAAAAATATCGTTGAAAAATTAGAGCACAAATGACGATCCATTTTTTTC